GACTGGTGTGATAACTATTACTATAGGAAAACTCCATCAACGGCAAATGAGTATCCCATGAATTTCCAAAGTCGATTACACAAGACCGTAGCATATCTTCTAGGGTCTGAATGGTTCGTTCACTTTGACCATCTGTCTGTGGGTGGTAAGTTGTGCTCATGTCCAAGCTGGTTCCCAGGGATTTGTGAAGTGAGTGCCAGAACTTTGACGTGAACCTACTATCTCTATCCGAGATAATAAAAGTTGGCAATCCACGAATCTTGACAATTTCCCTGAGATATGTTCTCGTCAGATTTTCCATTTTGTTAGTTTCCTTGATTGGTAGGAAATAGGCAGACTTAGTTAATTTATCAACCACTACCCAAATAGTGTCATAACTACTAGGAGTCTTGGGTAGTTTTGTGATAAAGTTCATTGCAATTTGCTCCCATTTCAACTCAGGAATCTCAGGCTGTTGCAGTAATCTTGAGGGCTTTTGGTGTTCTGCCTTGACTTTAAAGCAAGTAAGGCATTTGCCCACTTAATTGGCTATCTCAGCCTTCATATTAGGCTACCAATATAATTTCTTCAGATCTAGATACATCTTGCCGGAGCCAGGATGTAAAGAATACCTTGATCTGTGAGCTTCATCCATGACCAAGCTTCTAATGTTACGAAACTTTGGTGTCCAGATTATGTTCATGAAATAACGAGTTCCATCATCTTTAAGCTCGAAAAGTTTATCCATTCCCCGTAAAGCTTCTTCCTCAACATTTTCCTCTTTCAGAGCATCTAGTTGAGCTTCACGAATCTAGGTATTAAAGTTGGAATGGATGGTCATAGTTAGTGCCTTTACTCGTCGGGGTTTCGATAATTAGTAATGTATTTTCGTGGTACATGATCCCTGCCTGGTCCTTCTATAATCGCCTTGTGCATACACGTTGTATAAAAGTCAAGACTGAGTAGACGGTCGAATAAGTGATTCTACCTTAAGCCCACAACCAAACAAGGAACAGGAAGTAAAGCAGAGTCGCAAATTCTAAGTCTATAGAATCTTAATTATATACAACCTTAACGTATACACCTAGCAAGCATAAATTACCAACATGGATACTTAGTTTCTATATGAATGACGTGACTATTCAGGGTGAGAAGATAATTTGTGATCCCTACCTGGTCCTTCTACAATCGCCTTTTGCATACACATCATATATAATCAACATCGAATAGACGGTCGGATAAGTGATTCTACCTTAAGCCCACAACCAAACAAGGAACAGGAAGTAAAGTGGAGTCAAAAATCCTAGGTCTATAGAATCTTAATTATATACAACCCTAACGTATACACTTAGCAAGAATAGATTACCAACAAGGGTACTTAGTTTCTATATGAATAACGTGACTATTCAGGGTGAGAAGATAATTGGTGATCCCTACCTGGTCCTTCTACAATCGCCTTGTGCATACATATCATATATAATCAACATCGAATAGACGGTCGGATAAGTCATTCTATCTTAAGCCCACAACCAAACAAGGAACAGGAAGTAAAGCGGAGTCACAAATCCTAAGTCTATAGAATCTTAATTATATACAAACCTAACGTATACACTTAGCAAGAATAGATTACCAGCAAGGGTCCTTATTTGGATGCTTGCAATATCTACTGTGTAGGTTTCATGAAGTTGGCGAAATTTATGTTTTTGTCGTGTTTCGAAGCCTATGGCCGATAAATCTTTTATCGGCACCAGTATTAATTAATACCGAAGCCTAAACATTGTTGATATGAAACGTACCAATAACCATAGGTGGTTCCTGGAGAGCATCTCAAGTAGTGATCATAAGTTCTCTTTCATTGTCACCCTGATTCTTCAGTTTCGGGCATTCCTTCCTAAAATGCCCTGGTTGATTGCATTAAAAATAGTTACGGCTTCCTCCTGCCGTAGTGGTTGAGGTTTTTCTGCAGTACTTCGAGATGTGACTTCTCATGTTACACTTGTTATAGATTACTTCCCTTTTATCTGTGGAGCCATACCCCATGTATAACGCTCCACTTTCTTGCTTTCCAGTTTCCCATGCCTGGACAGAGGTGTGCAAGGTCATTAAACCTCGTCGTGTAAGTCTTGATATCATAACATTTCATTTTTTAGGTTCCAAAGCTTATGTTCTAGGCTTTGTACTTCTTCTCGGGGGGCAGTACTCCTCTATTAAAAGTTCCTTCATGTTTTCCCCTGACATTGAGTTGGCCACCGAGACACCCAAAGTTTTTACATGGTCAGTCCACCATGTTAGAGCTCCGTCCATCAAGGTGCATGCGGCAAACCGCACTTTTATACCCTCGGCGCAGTAGCACATGTCAAACACAGTTTCAAATTTTTCAAACTAAGTTAAACCCACAACTCCTTCGTTGCCATAAAAGTTTATTGGCTTGCAATTTATGAAGTCCTTGTAGGAACAAGTTCTTTTAGGCTCTTCTGGATGCGAGTGAAGAGTGCTTCCAGCTCCGTTTCCCAGTCCATTCACTTCCACGAGTCGCCTTCTATCACTCAAGCTCCTTGCAGTTGCCATTGCAATTGTAAGGTGTTCCGAAACTAGTCGTTCCAATTCTGTCGTAGTTTGAGGAAGTCCTGACTCAGGAGGTGGTTGAATAGAGTGCTAGAAGTTGACGTTTCTGGAGGTACAACCGGCCTTCTGGTTGGTCGACCTCTTCGGGTTCGTCCCATAGCTGGTTCGATAGTTGGTGTTACTTCGAGGTGTAATATGGTGTTCCTTCTTAGAGGCATTTTGATTTCTTTTGTTGTTTGTAGTAGAGGTTTAGTTTGTGATGTTTTTGGTTAGTTCTCTTATAATGTTTTTATTCACGATTCCTGTCCATATAACGGTTCAAAAAGGTTTTTAAACATAATAACATATGCTTCATTATATTAAGCATTAACATCCGAGTACATTAGTCTTTACTATTTTCATAATGTAAAGACCTACACGTAGTGGTACCAAGACCTACCAACAAACAAATAATGTTTACTTATTCTTACATATCCTAATACATATCCAAAAAGTTTGTCACCAAAATTTTTAGTATCTCAAATAAGTTACACAAAAGTTTTCACATATAAATAAAAAAATATTCTATTGATTTTTATTGACTTGTGATCATATTTTATGTTTCTTAAAACGCCAAGATTTTAGTCTATCAACTACTTCGCTTAAGTTGGATAATGCATGAGGCCCGACCAAAATAAAACTTAGGCGCGCAACTAGGTTTAATAATGGTATGACCTATGTTTTATGAAACCTAATTGAGTATTTGATCTAAATCCTTGTGTTTAAGTTTATTGGATTTTTATCTTTAAGTGTTGTAGGGTAAGGATATTTCCTAAACCTACTTGAGTAAGCCCTAGACTATAGTTGTATTTTTCTAAAAAGAAAATACTAAGTTCTCTATAGTCGTTAGCTCTGATACCAATCTGTCACACCCCGACCGACGGCGGAAAATGCCAGGGTTGCGACGTTATTACAATTGGATCACAAGTCAACCACATATATCGAATACTTAATATATTTGAATCCTTATTTTACAAACATTTATGTTTTGGAATTTAAATTACATCTTCATAATTTAAACACACTACGGTAAACAAGTTAAGTCTATTCCCAAAAGAAAGGAACTATAATTTCCATAGAACCGATGTCCTACCTCCGGCTTCTTAGTTACCTGTGATTTACATCAATCAATAACACTTTAAGCTTTATTATAATACCATTCTTTTATTGATTCTGACTTTTATCTATATTTATACTTATTTATTATTGATTTGTATACAAATATGAATTTGATTACAGCTATTGTAGTATTCACAGAAGAAAAGCAAACAGCAACAGAAAAAAAGGTATATTTAAATCACATATGGTTTATGAAGACGTGTTATAAACATATGATTATATGATTATCCCTTTTTCACAATTTGTCTCTCTAAAGGAAAAGGAAAAAGATCAAATGAAGAAGACACAACAGAAACAATGTCCAAGTTAAAACACGACAAAGGTATGATTCAATCACATATGATTGTAATATGTATTTAAAATCACATAATTATTAATTATTACTTGATTCTCAATTTAATATATGATTATTATTTTCATAACAGCTGAAAAGAAAACTGAGTGAAGAAAGAGAAAAGCCATATCTTTAAAAAGTAAAGATCAACTACTTGATGAAAATGAAGATGATTCCGATTTTGCAAAAAAATATATAAAGAAAAGAAAGAAGAAGATAATAAAGAAGCATTTTGATACAATCAGAAACAGGTATAACTTTGTATTAACAACTTTATACAAAAAAATAATTTTATTAAATCATATGTGATATACTAATACCTTTATTAAATCACATATGATTAATATCTTTTATGTAGGAAAAAAAAATCAATATACAAATAAGATAATTTATTTAATCTTATATGATTCAAAGATGAATCACCATGTGATTAATATCTTTTATATACAAAAATGTGATTATACAAAAATTTATTAAGTCATATATGATTCAAAAATCAATCATGTGTGATTATTCAAAACATATTTCATGTATTTTTCAGTTAACATACATGTGATAAAATTATAAAACATGTATAATACCTTCATTAATTATTATCATAACATATGAATTAAATTCATTATGTGATATATTTGATGATAGATGTACACCTGGAGCTTTGTTGTCTGTTATACAAGGCCTCAATGAAGTACAAAAAAATTGTGTCAGACAGATGGGTTTTGGGGGAATATTAAATATGAAGATGACAGAGGTCCCAGGGGCCTTAAATTGCTTTGTTCTTAAGAATTTTAACTCCGAAACAAAGAAGATAGTTCTTCAAAAATGAGTTATTGATGTCACCAAAGAATTCGTCAAAGAAATTCTTGGATTTCCTTTGGGAAGAAAACGGTTTTCAAAACTTACATTCAGAACAAAAGAAGATAAATGTTATGAAGAATGGACAAACCAGTTTGATGACAAGAAGATGATTCGACTTCAAGATATAAAGATGAAAATTGTTTCCACCAACAAGGCAGATATGAATTTCAAGATGAATTTCATAGCTTTGTTGATCAACTCGCTGATAGAATCAAGCTCTTTAGGAAAAGCAAACACCAACCCATTGAACTACATAACAAGCAAGACGAAAATAGAAAACATCGACTGGTGTTCTTATCTGATAGACTGTTTGGTTAAAACAAACAGTCTTTTGATCCATCAAATCCAACAAGCAGTTTTAATGGACCATCTGCTTATTTGTTTGTATGTTTAATATGTTTTACACTATTTAAATATCTTTAAAATCACAAATGATTTTTATTTATTTATAACGTATGTTCTAACATGAGTATCTATAATCACATGTGATTTAAATGTCATATTCTTAAATCATATATGATTAGTAGAATTTGTTACAAAATTAATAATTTTTTTTTGCAGTTGCTTTATCTAGACAGAATCAAATCTGATGTACTTAACATTGAAAGAACACGTCTAGTGATCTGCCATTGGACTTCAGAGAAAATAAAGATGAGAGAAACTTTTGAAAAGGATGAGCTTGGTGATTTTGGAACAGGGGATTTCAATGATGAGTATGTTGATGAAGAATTGAATGAGGAGGTAAATTTAATTGCAACAATTATATGAAAACTCATTATTATTTACTTATATTTTACATGTTACATTATATATATATTAATATATATTTTAATTCATTTATTATGTAGGCTTATGAGCATGTGGTTATGAATAAGTATAAGAAGTTACATATGATGATTGAAGATGGTATAAATAAATTCCTAGAAAATATAACCCTTAATCATTTGAAAATTAGCTTTGATGCAATTTTTAAAGATAAGAGTGACAATAGTGATGGTGATGATGACAATGGAGATGATAATGATCAATCAAAGAAAAAGAATGTAGGAGGGGAAAATATTGAAAGAGGTAAGTGTATTTAAAAAAATCTCTATACAATCACATGTGATTGCGTATACAATCACATGTGATTAAATACTTATCTTAAATTATATGCAGTTACGGGACAAGAAAATGAGAATCTTGAAGGAGGAGAGGAACATAAACGAAAAAATAAAGATGAGGGAGGTGAAGATATTAAAATAACAGGTAAGTAATATTTTACTAAATCATATGTGATTCTTAAAAAGTAACTTTTTACAATAACATGTGATTAAAAACAATTTTTTATTATATGCAAATCACATGTGATTAACTACAAATTTTTTATATATGCAGATGGTGAGAAATATGAAAATGATAATAATGATCAAGGTTTGGATGACATGAATTTGAATGATGAAGGTGTTAAAAATGAAAAAGGTGGTAATAATAAAGAAGAACAAAATGCTGAAACAGAAGGTAAACAACAATATATATTAATAAAGTAATCAAATGTAATTATAATTTATGTAAACATTCACAAATCATTAATAACTTTTTTCTAATTGTATTCAGCTGTGGAGGGGATGAATATAGAAAGGAAGAATGATAAGAAAGTAGAAGGAATAACTGGTGAACAAACACAAAGAGATGGAGAAGGTAAATATCAATATACTGAAAATAACAATATAATATATTTGTACACATAATAATCATATATGATTACATCTCTTGTAATCACATGTGATTATATTCACATAACAATACAAATATATTTGTACAATATTTTTTTAATAACATATGATTACTCAATCATATGTGATTCTTAAAAAGTAACTTTTTACAATCACATGTGATTAAAAACAATTTTTTATTATATGCAAATCACATGTGATTAACTATAAATTTTTTGTATATACAGATGGTGAGAAAGATGAAAATAATAATAATGATCAAGGTTTGGATGACATGAATTTGAATGATGAAGGTGTTGAAAATGAAAAAGGTGGTAATAATAAAGAATAACAAAATGTTGCAGGAGAAGGTAAACAACAATATATATTAATAAAGTAATCAAATGTAATTATAATTTATATAAACACATGTGATTACATTCACAAATCATTAATAATTTCTTTTTACTTGTATTCAGCTGTGGAGGGGATGAATATAGAAATGAAGAATGATAAGAAAGTAGAAGGAATAACTGGTGAACAACCACAAAGAGATGGAGAAGGTAAATATCAATATACTGAAAATAACAATATAATATATTTGTACACATAATAATCATATATGATTACATCTCTTGTAATCACATGTGATTATATTCACATAACAATACAAATATATTCGTACAATATTTTTTTTAATAACATATGATTACTTAATCATATGTGATTCTTAAAAAGTAACTTTTTACAATCACATGTGATTAAAAACAATTTTTTATTATATGCAAATCACATGTGATTAACTACAAAAATTTTATATATGCAGATGGTGAGAAAGATGAAAATGATAATAATGATCAAGGTTTGGATGACATTAATTTGAATGATGAAGGTGTTGAAAATGAAAAAGATGGTAATAATAAAGAAGAACAAAATGCTGAAGGAGAAGGTAAACAACAATATATATTAATAAAGTAATCAAATGTAATTATAATTTATGTAAACACATGTGATTACATTCACAAATCATTAATAATTTCTTTTTAATTGTATTCAGCTATGGAGGGGATGAATATAGAAAGGAAGAATGATAAGAAAATAGAAGCAATAACTGGTGAACAACCACAAAGAGATGGAGAAGGTAAATATAAATATATTGAAAATCATATCTTATAATTAACAAAACAGTGTTATTAAATACGTTATAATCACATGTGATTATAAATGTTATTACATACCTTATAATCACATGTGACTATAATAACATAAATATAATATCTTTGTGTAATTAATTCTTTTAATCATATATGATTGATAATTTTTTATAATTATATATCAGGTGTAGAGGGGATAAATATGGAGGGAAAAATTGGTGAAAAGAAAGAAGGAAAAATTATATATTTATATATATATAAAAATATGAAAAAATATATTTTTACAATCATATATGATAACTAACATAATTTACTTATATGCAGTATTGAAAGGAACAAATGTTATTCGAGGAGAAGGTACCAATCATATTTATCTGATAAAAAATTGTATTGAATGATAAAAATATTGTATTGAATGATAATTACTTTTTATGTATATGTATTGATTAATTTAAATTCTATTGTATGTAATTTGAAAATTTTAAAAATCTTTTGATGTAGTTGATTAAATATTATGAAACTATTCCTTAATAATTGTCTATAAATGTTGATATGTTTTAGTAAAACATATCAATATTTATCTATAATCACATGTGAACATAATTGATAAAAAGTATATTGTACCTATATAACTAATCACATGTGATCATAATCAACAAAAACTATTTTGTTTTACTATAACCATACACAATTGATTACAATACTTAAAAAGACAGTCAATAACGATAAAGGTTTTGATGACATGAATTTGCATGATGAAGGTGTTGAAAATTAAAAAGGTGGTGATAATGAAGAAGAACAAAATGTTGAAGGAGAAGGTAAACAACAATATATTTTACTTATAATCACAAGCGATTTTTCTACTAACTTATTTTGTTTATGTGATTTTTGAAGAAGATGTGAACAAAACAATAACAAACGTTATTGAAAGTATTTTTGAAAACACATCAGAGTTTAGCATTACCGAAATGTTAAATGATGATGAATTCAATTCTGTTTATGAGAAGACCATGAAAAAATACCAAGATAAAAAAGAAGAGAGTATGATGCCCACATATGATCTCAATATAAGTCAGTTGACACCTCCAGAGATGACATAGGTAAATATTATTTTGTCTGTTCGTACAAAATCATATCTTTATGAATGTAATCACATATTATTTTATTATTTCTTAAACGTACAATCATATGTGATTAAATATTATTTTGTCTGTTCGTACAGTATCATATCTTTATGAATGTAATCACATATGATTTTATTATTTCTTAAACGTACAATCATATGTGATTAAATATTATTTTGTTTGTTCGTACAGTATCATATGTTTATGAATGTAATCACATATGATTTTATTATTTCTTAGACGTACAATCATATGTGATTAAATATTATTTTATCTGTTCGTACAAAATCAAATCTTTATGAATGTAATCACATATGATTTTATTATTTCTTAGACGTACAATAATATGTGATTAAAACTAATTATCACATTATTTAAACTTACAATCATATGTGATTAACAATAATTATTAAAAATTTAAAATTATGATTCTAATATTTTTCTAACTGTTATAACCATATATCAATTGCAGAATACTGCTGAACAAAAAAAAGATGAAGGTGAAAAAGAAAATCTGGTGAAAGATGCGCTAGATCCAAAAGCGAAGAAGCACCCAAAGATAAAAATTGTGAATTCAAAAAATCGAAACAAAGAGTCTTTGCCTGATCTTACAGAAAAACAAAATGTAACTCTGGAACATCGGCAACAAAGAAAGAAAAAACCAGCCAAAGTAAGGAGATCCCCATATAAAGAGAGAGCAATTTGCTTGAAAACAAAGTTAACAAAAGAAGAGGAAATGCTTGGTGAATGGTTGTTCCATTTGCAGGGAACTGTATAGTAAGTTATTAATATTTGATTAGCATTTACAAAAAATAAACATTAACATACTTGTTTAATATTAGTAAATCACATGTGATTATACATTCTAATCATTGATTAATCATATGTGATTAAAAAAAATATCTTAAATATACTTGTTCAACATTATATTTATAGTGAAATTACAATTTTTTTTATATTTACAGTGATCAGCTGTTATTCACAATAAACAAAAGAGTCGTATTCCGATATGTATTTGAAAGTTTTTTTCCCAGAGAATATCTATTTTCAGATGTCATAGACTCATGGTTTGAACTACTCAACTACAATGAGAAGGACCGAGACATTAATAATTCTCCATATAGAGTTTTCTTGTCTGTCCAAATGACTATAAGTGAAACATATATGATTCTATCACTAAAATAATATTATCTATTTCAATTCATATATGATTATACACTAAAACCACAAATCATTGAACATGTAGAAAAAGTACATTGAGGATGAGCAACTTCCTAAACCAAAAAAAGATGACAAAAGGAAAAAGATTGACAAAAAAGTAAAAGAACAAATGGAAAAGGAAGCAAAGGAGAAAGACAAGTATAGATACAATCTATTCAAACAATACTTTGTAGATTGGTTCAATGGAGATGAAGAAAAAATAAAATTGAAAGATGTTGATTTGGTAAGTTATTCAATATCAAATTATTCTTTATATATATATATATATATATATATATATATATATATATATATATATATATATTCATAAATATGACAATAAATATTTAAATGCAGATATTATTCCCTGTTTGTCGGGAAGAACACATGTTTCTCTACATTTTCAACATAAAAAATCCAAACATTGTCATCTTGGATAACAGCAGATCAGACGCAACTGTTGAAGGAAAGTACATGCCTGTACTTAAAAACCTGGTATATAAAAAATCAACTGTGATTAAATAAGAAAATCATATAATTAGATAAAATAAATCATATATGAATAAATAACATGTGATTATATAAATAAATAACATGTGATTATATAAATAAATCACATGTGATTACATAAATAAATCACATGTGATTATACATTTGAATAAACATTTCAAATCATATCTGATTATACATTTGAATTAAAAAATAATGAAAACATTATTTCATAGTTGTAATCACATGTGATTATATAAATATTAATAATATATTTTTATGTTTAATTTTATGTGGTTAACTTTCTTATTTTTATTTTTTTTTAATTTTCATAAAAAATACTTATTGAGATATCTGCATGAAATAAATCATCCAATATGTTATGCCCTTCAAGACCCAAATATCAAACCACAAATACCAGATCTGTTATGTAAAACTAAACATAACAAAAGAGACTGTGGAATATTTGTGATGAGATACATGGAAACGTATATGGCTCAACCAGAATACAAAACTGGATTCCCAAAGGAAGGAGCTCAAGATGCACTGCTTGATTTGGTGAGAACCAAATATGCTCATGCATTGATAAATTCTGAGATTAATTTGATGAATGATGATGTCATGGAACTTGCACGTGAGTACAACAAACAAAATAAAGAGAAGAAAGAAAGCGATCAAAGAAATGCTTGTGCAGAAATCCATCAAAGGTTGAGTGATTTCCTATAAGGATAATGGAAATCAAAGTGGTGAATGAGATGATGAAGATGTGGGAAGAGGTTTGATGCGAAGGTCAAGATTCAAATACTGAAGTTTGAAAGACTGTCTGTAAATGGATGATTTGATTGTTTGTTTATTTAGACAATGTTTAGTTTTCAATTACATGAATGCTTGCTAGTTTATTAAGACAATATATGATATCATGGATTTGTGAAAATTAATATAGATAAGTATTTTAACTGTAAATTAAAGTTTACAGAATGTTTCATTTTAAATCACATATGACTTTGATATTTCGAACAGTTATAAAATGCCTTGTTCTTTGTACAATAAGATGTGATATCGACAATCACATGTGATTATATACGTAATCACATGTGATTAGAAAAATAATGAAATATGATCATTGTATGGTTTATACTTCAACCACATATGATTATTATGTGCAATATATACATACACAAAAAGAAAAATCACATATGATTAAACATGTACACATTATAAAAATAATACTTATATTATCATGTGTAATATAGTTAGATTATCATGTGAAAATATGATATTATAAAATCACATGTGATTATATATGTATATAAAAACATATGATATTATAAAATCACATATGACTTTGATATTTCTAATAGTTATAAAATGCCTTGTTCTTCGTACAATAAGATGTGATATCGACAATCACACGTGATTATATACGTAATCACGTGTGATTAGAAAAATAATCACATGTGATTAGAAAAATAATCAAATATGATCATTGTATATTTTATACTTCAACCACATATGATTATCATGTGATTAGAAAAATAATATCGTATGTGCAATATATACATACACAAAAAGAAAAATCACATATGATTAAACATGTACACATTATAAAAATAATACTTATATTATCATGTGTAATATACTTAGATTATCATGTGCAAATTTGATATTACAAAATCACATCTGATTATGTATATAAAAACATATGATATTATACAATCACATGTGATTAAGATCTTTTATTAAAAGTTTATACTTATTATATAGACAAATTATTGAAACAAATCACATGTGATTATACTAGTAAAAATTTTAGAATCACATATAATTATAAACAAACAACCAAAAAATTGAATGAGGAAAAATAAATTGAATCACAAATGATTATCATCTGTTATGAACATTGTTTACTTAAAAAATTGAAAACTAATAAAATGTCTATTCATCAATTCTGAGCATTAAATCTACTTGGACAAGTACGCCTGTTGTGTGGTTTTCTTTTACCACATAATGAGCATTTTCTGGTCTTCGTTTGATCATTCATAACTGCTTTTTCAACTTCACCAATAAGCCTTTTCTTTTGTGATCCTTTATTATGTTGAACTTCTGGAACAAAAATCTCGACTTCTTATGGAATAGTAACATTATAAAGTTTTTCAAGGATATCCGAATTTGTAATAGGCTTTTCAGTTGAACAATTACTCTTCACCTCATTCAACAAAATTTCTATTTTTTCAGCCAAACATGCTAACTTCTGCTTATCATGTCTCACAATATCTAAAGCAGTTTCAACATTCCAAAATACTTCATTAAGGAGTTTGGTAACTTCTTCATCCTCTTCATCAAAACGATCTCTCGACAACTGATAATTCAAAGATATTACATCCTTTGTCCATCGCCTAAGAATATATTGTTCCGGTATTTCATTAAAATTTTTGTCCATCAATACTCTAAAAGCATGTCTACAGAGAATACCAAACCGATTAAAATGTCCACAGGTGCAACTCACTTCTTTTTCATCATATTTTAGTTCCACCTGTAACAATAAAAAATCACATATGATTATACAAATAAAAATCACAGTCTTGTTTAATCACATGTGATTAAAATGTTTTATATACATAAAATATATCAATCACATATGATTACACACATGAAAACAATATACACACCAACGGCATATGCACATTATCTTTATA